GTCAGGCGAATAAAGATATTGTCCCAGCAATCGAGTCGTCTTCTACCTCTCAGATACGAATCCTTCGCGCTATAACAGGGGCACCAGTATCAGAAGCTGCGACTCACATTCTTAGCACCCGCCTCAACATCCGTCGACGCACATTCACTCATCGCCTGGGCCTGTTTGATCATATATACACACTGCAAAGCTACTACACATTAAACTCCCTACCTACGCAAAAACTACCGTCCCAAGCACGAACAGCCGTCCCTCGACCAGCGCGGCCATTACTAGTAACTTCATTCGAATAGTCGACTCTACAGTCCCAATCCAGCCTGCCCACAAATAAACATCACGCGGCGTCCTGGTCGGCCACTTGCGAATCCTTCGCACAGAGAGTAGTAAACGGGGGCCTAGAACAGCAAATTACATCCGTTTTCATTGGCTCAACTGACCGCATTGCCCTCGCACATGCAGGCACCGCATAGTCCTACAGGATCAAATGTGCTTTTGTAAAAACCGACGGCAAATATCTGCGCATAGTTCCCGATCAATACACATGAGCACGTCCGATATCACTCACGCACACATCCCGTAGGCATGGACTAAACACCCTTCAGGTAGTGGGAAGGGTGTTCTGTGGCACTACCCCCTCTCTCGCTCTCTGCGTGTTCCCTCCGTTGCATGTGAAATCCAAGTAATGCACTCACTTTGTGTGAAATCCAGGGTTGTTCAGTGAGTGGCCGGCTGCTTGGTGAGGGTCCGCCACCTGCACCCTCTCACTCCTGCAGTCCTCTTGACTATGTCGTGGCACCGGGCCCATGAGGTTAAAGCGGAAAGCGTCAGATAGATGCTGTGCAGGTTTTCTATCACAAAAAACACTCATGTGCGTGTCACCCTCCCTCTGTCCACTCGCTTGCCCTGTAACTCTGATGTGACTCATGCCCTCTGTCGACACCCCTCCGTGATCAGGGTCATTTGGAGGACTGCGGTTGCACGATATTTTGACTGCCGCATCCGACGACGTTCACCCTATGCTCCACAGCATGTTAGTAGTGCAGGCAGACGATGACTTGCGCGTGGATTTGCGCCGTATCTCCCTCACTCTCGCTATCTCTTCCTTCACCCAATCGTGTCCGGTATCAAGTGAGAGTCACCTGGAGACTTGAGCCGCGGGATTTAGGCGCAGGTTGCCGGGGCGACATTAGCCTGCACCTACGCATGCCACTACGCCCTCCCGCCACAGACTTCCCCCCCCTTGTTCGACATTTGTCGTGGTAGCGCAATCCGAATAACGCCTGTTATGTCGTGATTTGGCACCGGTCTTGGTCCAGCGCATATATCATACGGCCTATTTAGGGGGGACTTCGGGAAACCTACATTCGTAAACAAAATTCATCTTTATGTTCCTATTACACAGCTCAACCCTCTAATCTGGAGACTTATGGATGCCTATATTTTCGTTCTCATTCTTATTTATTTTTCCTGATATTTTGGTTTCTGCTTTGTTTACAAACCCTATGCTCCGAAAGTTCTCCCCCGCTGCTGATGTTGCCTGTATCAATATAGTTTTCCATCGAAGCACATTACTTAAGTAAAGTTGTAATTCCGAGTATCCTACAGACTAGTCGCAAGATACTACAGTCACGTAAGGATGACGGTTTTTGCATGGGATTCCTTCTAACAGCTTGCAAAGACCATATACTGCAAAAAGTAACTATTAATTCAGTATACGTTTTTCTGATTGGTTTTCTCTGCCTTATAAATTCAAGATTGAGAGAAGGAGTCTAAGAGCCACCATCAATGACTTTGCATTTTACGGTAGATATACAGTTCTCGTATCCTGCAAACAATATTCAGGGCGAAATTAAACTTTTTAGTTTAGCATACATCTGGGCAGGTTATTTTGATCAAATGAGTGGATTTATTAATGAGAAGGGCTTTGGATAGGAAAACGGCCCTGTTGGTTAAAGTTATTAGGGGAAATAGGCTCTCAGTTTTGCTAAATCTGAGTAAGTTTAAAAAAGGGATTCCATATGCTATAAGGAAAGAATGGACGAAACTTTCTTCTTATATACATTGTGCTGTGGAAGAATTCCACAATTAGTTAAAAAAAGGTTGAATAATAATCCCTTCCAGTACTCGAAAATTTTGTGCGAAT